CATCTGGTCTGTCAGAGATATAGTGGAGCTTCCTCTTCCCTAGGGAAGGAATGAAGCTTCTTCAAAAATTTTCTATAAATACATTGGCAGCAAAAGGAGGACTAATGAGAGTCTCCATCCTTTGCTGCATGCAGAGGGTAAGAAAGTGTCAGGGGATGAGGAAAAGGCTGAGGTACTTAATGCCTTCTTTGCCTTAGTCTTTAATACCAAAACCAGTTTCCCCCAGGATATCCAGCTACCAGAGCTGGAAGTTAGAGACAGGGAGCAGAATGAAGCCCCTATAATCCAGGAGGAAAGGGTTCCAGTCAGACACCTATGTGCCTAGATAGGATGCACCTGAGAGTAATGAGGGAAGTGGCAAAAGAGCTTGCCAAACCACTGTCAATCATTTACCAGCAGTCCTGGTTAAATGGAGAAGTCCCAGTTGACTGTAAATTAGCAAATATAATGCCCATCTACAAGGGTTGGAAGGAAGATCTGGGAAACTACAGGCCTATCAGCCTGACCTTGGTACCAGGGAAGGTCATGGAGTAGCTCATCCTGAGGACCATCAAATGGCATGTACAGGACAACCAGAGCATCAGGCCCCCAGGATTTACAAAAAGTAGGTCCTGCTTGACCAACCTGATCACCTTCTATGACAAAGTGACCCACTTAGGAGGTGAGGGAAAGATGGTGGATGTTGTCGATCTAGACTTCAGTAAAGCCTTTGACACCATCTCCCACAGCATTCGCCTGAAGTAATTGGTTGTACGTGGACAGGTGTACTCTTTGCTGGGTGAAAAACTGCCTGGATGGCCAAGGCCAGAGAGTGGTGGTGAATGGAACTAAATCCATTTGGTGGCTGGTGACTAGTGGTGTTACCCAGGACTCAGTATTGGGGTCAGTCCTTTTTCACATCTTCATTGATGATTTGGATGAGGGGATTGAGTGTATCCCAAATCAGTTCACAGAAGACATAAAGTTGGGCAGGAGTGTTGATCTGCTGGAGGGTTGTAAGGCTCCACAGAGAGATCTTGACAGACTGGGTCAATGGGCTGAGGACAACGGTATGAGGCTCAATAACATGAACCAAGTGCTGGGTCCTGCACTTGGGTGACAACAACCCCAGGCAGAGCTACAGACTGGGGAAAGAGTGCCTTGAGAGCTGCTTAGTGGAAAGGGACTGGGGGGTGCTGATTCACAGCCAGCTGGATATGAGCCAGCAGTGTGCCCAAGTGGCCAAGAAGGCCAATGGCATCCTGGCCTTTGTCAGCAACAGTGTGGCCAGTAGGACCAGGGCAGCAATTGTCCCACTTTACTTGGCACTGGTGAGGCCACACCTCAAATCCAGTGTTCAGTTTTGGGCCCCTCACTGCAGGAAAGACATTGAGGTGCTGGAGCGAGTGCAGAGAAGGGCAATGGAGGTGGGGCAGGGTCTGCAGCAAAATCTTATGAGGAACAACTGAGGGAACTGGGGCTGTTTAGCCTGGAGAAAAGAAAGCTCAGGGGAGACTTCACTGCTCTCTACAACTACCTGAAGGAAGGTTGTAGTGACGTGGTGGTCGGTCTCTTCTGCCATGTCACAAGTGCAAGGATGAGCAGAAATTAACCTCCCCCACCAGGGGAGTTTCAGATTAGATATTAGAAAAAAATTATTCACTGGAAGAGTGGTTAGGCCTTGGAATAAGTTGTCCAGGGAGGTGGTGGAGTCAGTCTCTGGAAGTGTTCAAGAGGCAGCTGGATATGGCACATGGGAATATAGTTTAGGGGTGATTATGGTAGCGGTAGGTTGACACTTGGACTAGACAGTCTTGAAGGTCTCTTACAACTTTGATGATTCTGTTGCTCTCCCCCTCCTCACCACTGCCAGGTCTCAGAGGTTAGAAGTAATAGTGTGTCTCCTCACAGGAAACTTCTTGCCTGACTCTACTTGAGAGGTACTGCTGGGACCCGCTGTGCTTAGAACTTGTGCCTTTGGAACTTGTGAAAGGGAAATAAGACCCCTTTCTTCTCCCATCATTCTTGAGTTAAAGGAATTTCTCAGAAAGTTAAAGCAGTTTGGTATCACAAATTAATCTTCATTTTCTGCCAAATTAAAATAGAATACTATACATCTCTTCTGGCATTTCTTTCACCACCAAAGGGTCAGTCACAGAAAACATCCACCTTGCAGTGCTGTGGAAAAGCCTCTGTGCTGATCACCTCCTCCAGAACAAAGGTAAAGGCACAAGCTCAGACTGCTTTACTGTACCTAGTTTGGGAATACTCATCTCAGAGGGTTCTGAGTATTTTCTTCAAATATTTAACACATCACCTTCTCCTCAGCAAGGAACCTTCTGTATGCTCAAGGTGGACCCACTGCTGCCATTCACAAGTAGAACACGTTTGCCCTGGAAGGTATAAGACAGAGAAACCTCAGATGTAAAATTCTTCTTCATTAACTGGTGAAGTTGGGCAAGCATGATTGTCCAGAGAACATGGAGCTGCTCTCAAGGACTGTTTGTGATGCTTGGTGGGAGATGCTGATGTGAAAGAGCTGGAAGACCATTCAGAAAGAGAACACAACGAATCATCAACTGACTCAAAAGTATTGCACATGGCTGCAATAGGCCTTCCACTGGTGGGCGCCTGTTTAGCCTTACTGACAGTTTGTTTCTGTAGGGGAAGAGAGTCTGCCAACTCACTGCAAAATCCATTAAGGGAAGAGTATGCAGAAACCACAGACAGGTCTGAGAAGGACAGCTTCATCCCTGTATCCACATCAGTCTCTTGGGCACCTTCCAAGTCATCAATGTTAAGCTTGGGACTGCATTTCCATGTTTTTAACCTGCTTGCAGTTGACCCAGCATTAAAAAAATGAAATGGTTCACTGAAATGAAATGTCTCTGACGCTGAAGAGGAATTCACTGTGGGCAAGCAGAACAGAGACCTGCTTCGTTGAAATGACCATGAAATGCTGGAGGCACTGCTGGATCTGTGCGTGAAGTCTCCCCCATCACTGTGTCTCAAGTCCTCCTGGGAGAAACCAAGATAATGACCAAGGCCGTTCTTGGGATGTACCTTTTTTTGACCCATTTCTTGTGGTTGTTCAGAGATAGATAGGTGGCTCTGAGGAAGAAAGGCTGGCAGAGCAGTGAAGTGGGAATCTGTTGACAGAGATGGATACAGTTGCTTGTTCTGCTTTGCAGCCTTCCTACACCAACTGCGTGCTTGCTGCAGCCAGGAGAGGGAAAAAAGAAGATCACATTAATACAGAATTGGCAGTTTTACAACCATAAAGTCTCCGCTGCTGAGTTGTTACTGCAAATAATTACGAAGCAGACTTCAGTCAGTATGCTTGCAGCAAATGTTTCACTTCAGTAACAAAGAGAAACCACCCTGCCAAAATCCCAAATATTTACATAAGGAGCCTCAAAGACAACAAGAATAAATGGTAGAGAAGCCCTGCCTTGGGGGCTGAATTACGCTAGCTTTAAATTCTCACTTCCTATTGACTTGTTCAGATTCATTCATATTCTCTCTTCCTACTTTACTGCCTTAGTGGACAGCTGAAGAACAAAAATGAATAAATGGAAGATATATGTTACCAAAATGATAATTTCTCATTTCTTCCTTGCTGTGGTTTTTTTTTGTTTTCCCCTCTGAAACATCAGAAAGCCTTCAGCAAGCAAGCTCATTCTCTGTCTTCCCAACAGAAATTTACTACTTCTTTCAACTCTTTCACATTTTCTCTTTCATATCTGGTTAGCTGAGCAGTGCACCCTAGAACCCACTTGTTCTGTTACCTAGCTCATAGTGACATTATGCACAGACATATAATTTGCTTGTACACATGTTGACTGAAGACTGAAACTGATGGCTGTGATCTGAATTTGGACCTGAATCTCAGTCCTATGGCAGGATTCAGTTGTCTGCCTGTCAGATACTCAAGCATTTGAACAGGGAAAGCAGCTGTGACAAAGGGGGAGCCAATATCTTTCTCAAGTGGCTGGATGCCAGGTGACTTTCCTATGGGATTAGACACTGATGCGTGGGTAACTGCACTGTGTTCGAGCAATCAGAAGGTTTTTCATCATCCCAAGGCAAGCTTCTAGAAGTTTGCCTTTCAAAAAGTTTAATTTCAATTCTTGTTACTGGAATTTCTTGCATAATAAAAAATGCTTGATCTCTCTCCCAAAAGGGACAGAAACTAATGGGACAAAGTGCAAGATATATATTCTTGAAGATAAACAATAATCTCAGCTATGGGACTTGTCAGTTGGAAACAACAGAGGAGAAAGAAAGAACTGGGATTCCTGATCACTATGTGCTATTAAAGTGACAAGGCTGTGACAACATGATATGAGGCAGTTTCAAGTGAGTTAAAAAAGTCTTAACGCACTATGGACAACACTGCTAAGGCCTCATCCAGAATGCTGCACATGACTCAAATCATGCATATATGAAAAAGAATAAATTTGAACTGATAAAAAATGGAGCCACAGGAAAAAAAAAAGACCAACTATCTATTAAAAAACTGAACCACAAACTAATAAAAGGTTTCTAAGAACAACAGCAGGAAAAGAGTCTTATGGGGCAAGTAATGGATAAAGACAGAGCTTATTCATTTTAGCAAAGAGATTATATGACATGACAGAAAGGGCTGAGACCTGGCAACAAAGGAGGTCTTTTGTATCCCCTGTCTCTAAAAGAACTCCATACATCGCTGCTTTTAACATCTTGCTAGTGCACATCACATTGTCTTAGTGACCTATATCTGTCATAACCACTTCTGTTTTCTATTGAAGTGATTTTAGAGGCAAAAAAGGATTTCCACATCTGCAAAAAATGTTTTGCTCATTCATAATCAGTTAGGTAGAGATTTATAGGACAGCCAAGCCACAGAAGTTCACTTAGATGTTGTAGATTAATACATATACACATATATATCTGTAATTAAATACGTTAATTCATAACCTATTTCTGTGTAATACAGTAAACTGTTTTCCTTAGTGCCATAAAGAATTAAATGAATGAGTCAAATAGAACAAGTCAATTGTCAATAAAACATTAGCCAGAAATCACTTTAGACTTCTACACACATTATTTTATTTATGCAACACATAAACCAATTTGCTTAAAAAATACTCAGTAAGATAAAAGGCTTGTGCCCATGAAGAAAATACCAGCTCCTTCTTAAATGAAGACAGGTTTTGGATAACCCAGAAATAAGAATATGACACGCTGAAAGTACACAACCAGATCACTTCACTCTTTTGATGGGTTTGTCTAAGAAAACACTTCTCATTATATTTTGTTTGCATTTACCAAAAGTACTATTTTTTTTTCTGCAGTAGCTCTGTTATCAGATATGTTACATGAACTCAACCATCATGTTTGGTGAATCAACAGAAGCACCTCCAGAACACTTCTACCTCTAAGAGAGAAAATCATGGATTGCCCCACCATGGCTTGTTTTCACGCTATTCTTGTATTTTTGTAGACTTAGTTGATAATTTGGTAGGTCAAGCATCCAGAGAAATCAAGGATTCAAGCAAGTCTTGTCTTCCTCTTTGTGAAAAGGTAAGGATGGGACCACTGGTAACAACTCAGAGGAAACTGTACCTGAAAACATATGGCTTTTGGGAACAGATCTGTACTTGCACCGCAGAGAGTTCTGTGAGCAGTACAAAAGCCTTGCCTTTACCTTGCACAGACTATACCACCTGTCCACATGTATATATGTATATATATACACATATATGTATATATACACACAAATATATGTGTATATACATACACACAGGCATCCTGGGTAGGGTTTAGTTGTCTACTTAATACAGCCAATGGAGTCTGGCGAGCAATTCAGCTTTCCCTGAAGAAATTCTTGTGTCTGTTTAGCTGAATTGCTTTCTACGTCCTTAGGCTGCACTGAGAACATACCCACCAACTACAGTAAGAACACAGACTGTAGCTGACACAAAAATACCTGAGAGTAAACATCGGTTTTAGGTGTCTGTGATTTGGAGCTGAACCAAATCCTGCAGAGATGACTCCCATGTATTTATTTGGCTTTGGTGTATACAAGAGGCATTTTGCACACTAATAAAAATCTCATGTATTTAGATGATGGTAATAATTTCTTATTTATTGACATAACTTCTGACATCTGTTCCAAAGAAAAAGTAATTTAATTTGGTCTCTCAGGTCACCACTATTAAGAGATAGTTGGTCCAATTCAGTTGTGTAACTGTACGTATTTGCTGTATCCTGGCTAGCTCACAAGCACACACACAGGTCACTCTGTAACAGGGATTTCAGTGACTGGGAATGCTGCCGGGTATGTGTAATTTATTAATACAGGGAAAATCTTAAGCATTTTGGGAGTAAAGCACAGACATAAGAACAGCTGTTTTGAGCTCCTTCTATTATTTTGAAACCCTCTAGTTTAAATCAGATTGTGTTAGTTTGGGATTGTAGATATGCAACACAATGACTACAGGTGCAACCAAATTTTCAGGACTCAAAAGGATGCTCGCCCAAGGCATCACCAAAGAGGATGTGAACCCAAGGGCAATACCAGAATAAATGGATGAGGTGAGATGAAACACTCCTGCTAAAACCCCTGCTCTCATGTAGGAACTTTCTATCCAAAATGCAGATAAAAAGTAAAAAATCAAAGGAAAGGGGAAATGCACTTCGAAGTGGAAGTACTTGGAAGGGGCAACCTGCCCCAAACAGCCAAATAACTTTAAGTATCTGGGCTAAAATTAACAACAATTTACTTTAGGTAAGATACTAGTTTTAGAGTTTTGTTATTTTAAACTTTTTTTCCCTAGCTCTTTTAATGTTCCTGTGGTCAGACAGAGGCATTTCATTTTGTACAAGGTATTTGCTGTTAATCCTGATACTGAGTCACAGCTTCTGGTCAAGCTCAGTTGGCCTGGCAGGAGGTAACAGTGGATCAGTGAGGAGAAGGGGACAAGTACAGCCTGCCTTAGGATGGCTGCCTGCAGGGTAGGCCAAGTGACATCACTAACACAGCTTATTTCCGAACAGCTCTGTTTACAGGAGGAATTGCTTATCTCAATAATTTTTTTTAGATAAATTCAGATTTAGAAGACCTATTTTCCGATGCTTCATTACATGGGCAGAAAAGGGAAATAATAGGGAGATATTATTTTAATACTTTCATCTTAAAGCAATATAAATGAAGACTTTCCTAGCTATGAGAATACCAGACTGCACAACTGCAGAACAGGTAGTGCGTCAGAAGCTCCATCTCACGAAATACTAGTGAATGAAGCTTACAGGCTAATCCTATATTGCAGAGAACTGGATTATGTGGGCTAATAAGACTTTTCTATATCTACATTCTCTAACTTGTCAGAGATCACAGAGAGGATTCAATGATTTAGTCAGGATTAAAACTCAAGCAAAATTAGCTCCCAGTCCTGTGCCAAGCCCATTGACTGTGCTCCCTTGTGCCACCCTGGCATGGCACATGGAGTGTTGCATCCAGCCTTTGCATTATGTGATCACTTCTCTTTAGTTTTTTGAGGAGGCTTCTCCCACCTCCTTAAGCCTGCCATTGGCTTTGGAAACAGTTGCATCTTCTTTAATTTTCTGAATTATTTTTTTTTCAAGTCCTCATCTTCAGCCTTCTCATGGCTTGCTCTCAGCATTGCCTGTTACCTCCCTGCAGCCTGGCAGAGCCCTGCCTAGCACAGCCATGCTGCCTGCAACAGGCACAAGCACCACAGAGATGCCAGAGAGGGGGGCAGTCATCTGAAAGGACAAAGAGATGATCCAAAATGACACTCTGATTTGAAATTCCAAATACAGGGACATAGATTTGTCAGACCTTGCCACAGAGATGCGCAACAAACCCGGTCATTGACTGAACAGATTAGCTCTCTAACAGAACAGATTTTTTCATCTGGCGCTAATCTGGTGCTCATTTATAATCTCTGCACAAATCTTTGTGAAGCTTGGAGGGATTTAGAGTCTTTGTGTTTTACAATGGGCTGCAGAAGAATTTCATGATGAATATCTGGGAATGCCATAAACAACTTGTGGCGAAGCTTGCAGAAATGCACTTTTGCCTTGGGCTGCCTGGACCTAACAGAAAAAAAATCCATGGGTGCTCTTGCAGTCTATTTTAAGTTATCTGCTTTTAAAGAAAGCAGATAGAGATCTCCTTAAGTATTATCTGTATTAAGAACTGCCAGCAAGGCTCTGCTGAGGTCAGGACCCAGCCAGCACAGCAATGACATCACCATTCAAGCCCAGATTTTGCCTGCCTTGCTCAACAGGAGTGCGACGGTGTTCGTTTAATTGTATTTAAACCAGTGGGATTGATCCAGGAAAAAAATCAACACAAGAAAAAATGGCAGAGGTTAGTCCTCAGTATCACCATAATACGTCTTATTTGAAAGTAAGACTTGAAAAAATGTATTCAGAAGCGCAAGATATCAAAAGGCAAAATGCACAAATTTGATTTAAAGTTGAATGTATTTCAAAGGTGGCTTAGAGTGTGTTTACAAAACTAGAAAAGGTGGGTGCTTTGTAACACAAAATATATTCACTCTCAAGAGTTTTTGCTGGGTGTATAGAGTCATAAAAGATCCTAGTATGCCATGAAACATAACTGCACTAACAAAAAAAATCAAGTACCTTAGGTTGAAGAAAAAAACAACTAAAAAATCTCCTCCTATTTGAATTACTGACTGATTCACTATGCCCCCCCCCAAAAAACCCAGTCATTAGTATTAAGGAGAACCAAACACCTGTGTCACAAAAAGGAAAGGAAAAATAGAGTTAAAGACTTTAAACAACAGGATACTAGTATTAAACTTACAGACTAATTAGATCAGCTTAAGGCACCTCCCTTGACTGAGTCAATTTTTGCTCCAAACACTGTCCTTTTCACTGGTTTCTAAACAAACTAAAAGTAATTTTTGTAAAGATGCCCTGGGCACATCCTTGCTTGTCATAACAGTCATAGAATGGTTTGGGTTGGACATACCTTAAAGATTGTCTAGTTCCAATCTCCCACACCATGGGCTGGGACACCTTCCACTAGACCTGGCAGCTCAAAGCCCCATCCCAACTGACCTTGAACACTTCCAGGGTTGGGGCATCCACAACTTCTCTGGGCAACCTGCTCCAGTGGATGCTTTTCTTGTCTTTCCTCCTCTTTGTGTTCAGTTTGGCTCTATCTGCACTATTAATTCAAGCAAGCTTGAAGCTCTTCTCTCACCTCCATTTCCCTTCCTGCAGACTAAACTGTTCTCTGCAAAATTGCCCTTTTTTTGCCTGTTTTTGTCTTTTTGCCTCCTCTGATTCTGGTTTAGATGCTCTTCTTTCTTTTTTCTACTTGTACTTAACTGTAGTGACTCCAGACTATAGTAGTGAGTGTGTTTTCTTTCCTTTATCTCCCAGAATCTGCTCTTGGTAATGCTTTGAGTAACAGGGATGACATGATTTAACTGCATTTAAGACTACAGGCATATATTTTATCATCCAGCCTGACTTTTTGTTAACCACTTCACAAATTATTATGCCATTTCTTTACAAAGCCTGCTGACACTGCAGGCAGATGAAAGGATTTCAGTTTTCAGGATACTAAATAGCTGTATGCTTCCATCAGGGACACGGCAGAGGTGCCACAAGGCCCATATCTAAAATGGCAGGAGATTGACTAATGCTCTTAGAATATTTACATGTTTTAAGGTCATATGAATGCTGGATGACCATCAAGGCACCCAAACTGGAAACTAGGGGAAGGAGAAGGAATACTCCTTTTTGTTGGAGAGGAAAGGCAGAGCCAGCTGAGGTCTGGAAGGGTCTGGTTGGTCAGCTGAAGTAAATGCAACCATGACCACACTGATCTGAGTCCTAAATCTAAACGTAAAAATAAGTGGATTCCGAGCCTCCAAGATTTGCCTCTCCTTAGCAAAGATAAGCCTGGGGGGCAAACCATTCCTTACACTGCAGAGGAGAGTAAAATGTTTCTTTTAGTCTCAGTCGGGGCTGATCTGATTATTTTATTTCATGTAGGACTACCACAGACTGGTAGCAAACCATTTATTTCTTTGATTTTTACTTGTCTTGTTTTTGGTGCTGAGGAGGATCAAGGAGGGCAGATTTCAGCAAGAAACTAGTTATTACATGGTGACTCAGATGCCTCAACATACATGTTTGGTACATGCTGGTATTTTCTAGGGTGCCTGTCTGGCATTCTAGGAAGGCACAGCCTTCCTGTAGTCTAATCTGTCCAGACATCTTTTCTTGGTGGCTCAGGTACCCTTTGGCACATAAAACAGCAATAGGTCTTATGCTTAAGTGCTGAGCCACTGCCTAGATGAAATACTCATTTGGTGATGTCCACCTTCCTCCTGAATATGTCTGTATGTTCCACCTCACACAGAGCAGCTAGGAAATTCTGTCAAAATATTATTTTACTTTTCCTATCCTTCTCATGATTGAAAGAAGCCATCTGTGCACTTTCTTCTCTCCGCTCACTACCCCCGCTTTTCAAACATGCTTGGCCAAGCCAGTCCAACCTCTTATGAACCTTTCCTGCTTCCCATGTAGCACTGCCAGGAGTAACAAGTTGATTAGAACTTCAGCTGTCTCTGTGTGGATTATGCCCACAGGCAGCCAGGAATCTGGACAAGACCTGCAAACCTGTATACTCAGTATACCAGTATATGGTAGATTCTTAGCTACACTATTTACATATTCTTCCCACTGCTCTGACAAGAGCTCCTGAGAGCTCCTATTTCTGGGCTTAGCATTGGTGAAGCAGTGTGGGTGTCTTCCCACGGGATGCAATCATGTTCTTAAGCCTTGCTCCTGCTACAGCCAACTGAAGCTTACCCTTTGCGCCTCAGCTGATATAGAGCTGCACCCTTGGAGCTAATTTGCCAATGTGGAAAAGCTACTGTGACAAAATAGTTCTGAAGGGCTTCCTTGCAAATGAAGGAATAGTTTCTGTGGTATTAAGCAGATTTATCTTAACCATGAATAACTTTGTTTTCTCTTGCACTGACTTTATCTAAGCCCCTTGATAATTGCATTTGCAAAATGGATTAAGAACATGGATCAATCTGGCTGGCAAGTATCCAAGTCCCTGTGAGGACACCAAGAAAAACACGGAGGTCACATCTTGTTAGCCTAATCATGGAGGTATATTCAAACTTGAAACTTTAAACATTGCCTGCAATTTAACAGGGATGCAAATCTATAATTTTTGGTATAATTGTAATTTTAATCCTTAAAGAGGTGCATGATTATGAAGTACCAACAGATATGCAGACTGAAAAATACTGGAAAGTCATTGTTTGAGTTCATATAACTGGAAAGAAGAGAAGGGTTTTACCAATGCTGTGGCATGGATAATATAAATAATAGCAGCTCCCTGTGAAAAGTCAAAATGTAGGCCTGCCACTTTCAAAGGTAGATACTATAATTTCTTTGGATTTAGAATGAATTAAAAGAATATACGAAGTCCATGGATCACAAAATCCAGTGTATCCTACAACCCATGCTCCATCATTTCCTTCTCCTTAACCAACCACCCTGCCTTGAATTAAGGTATTAACCTGCTGGCACCTGCTGTGTGGCTGTTATGTAGTTAGCCATCAATCTGAACACTGCCAACTAAAATCTATTTACTGACAATTTTTTTGTTCCTGTGTCAGAACAACCATTTAATGAAACAGCCTTTTCCTGTTCCTGCTGTTTACCTTCCTGTCTATTTTCCAAGCACAGTCAGAGCTCCCTTTAAACTTACTTTGGCTGGGCTCAGATGACCCTAGTCTTCCAGTTTCTCTTTGTAAGACAGTCATACCATTTCTCTGCACGGGGGGAGACCCTTTCCCTGTACCTGCACCTTTCAGAAGTCACCTTTCTGGAATCCAGAGCTGAAGACAGGGGAGGCCTTTGAGACCCAGTGCATGGGCACAAATACGTTGCACGTTTCTTAGGGAATAGTAACACCAGTACACACCAGAGACTGCACGCACTTTTCTTTCCATGGTCATGTTGCACTTGTGGCTTGTAGGTACCTGAGTACAAACAGGACATTTTCCCTTTGATTTAGTTGTAGAGCTCCACTTCTAATTGTACAGACTTGCTTAAAACTTGTATACCGGGACCTAGTTTTCAGGATTTCATAATTGCATAAGTTAGATCCAAAGTCTCTGTTTTCCTTCCACTTTGCATATATTAAACTTCTTTTGCTTCAGCACACTTCAAATGTGATGAATTCCATTTCTGTAACTTCACTCCCATTTGTCATTTTGCCCTCCTGTTCAGAATCATCATCCTCACCAAAAATAGAAATGAAAATTAATTTCACTTGAAGGCCACACTTAGCAGGCTTTTGCTTTTTTGATACATACGGCTAAAATCTTATTTTGATTTTCTTTGCAAGTTTTACCTCAGTCTGCTGCTCAGCAAGTCTTGCTTCACCTCTGTACTGCCTGGCATGTTTTATTTCTGAAATTCGGCTTTAAATCAAAAGCCTTATTTAGAAGCCCTATTTTTTTTTACCCTTCCCTTCAATTTACTTGAAACTGGTGCAAGATCCCAAAAAGTTAAACCACATAGCAGAAACCTCCTGAGAAAGAACAGGGAAAAGGGGATACTTGTGAGTGTGGTTGCTGTGTATAATTTTCATGATGACTCTTGTCAGCTTCAGTTTACAAGTTATACCAGACATGGATATGCCTACAGTACAATCAGTAACTCTGACAAATTGGTGACTGTCTTGCCAGATGGGCAAGGAGGCTGCCCTTCTCAGCCCTATATGAGTGTTTTTCAGCTCTGGCATGGGGTTTCTCTGAGGGTGGTATCTGCAAAGCAGCATTGAAAGGTTTCACTAACACTTGGGTGTGACTCACCAGAGCACAGATGCCCTGTATACCTGGATTTTCAATCCCAGGAGCTACAAATCCTGAGGCACTGTGCTACACACAGTGTACACACTTCTCTGCATGCTGGGAGGTCTGTATGGTGGAAGGATGGCATCCCCAACACTTCTTCCATAGAAACAAGGTCAGACAACCGGACAAGCCACATGAATGAAATTCAGTCCAAAAAAACACCCTTTGAAATCTGAACAACTGTCTTTCAAAGGTGAGGGCCTGTGCTCCTTGATACAAATGTAAGTGGTAATAAATACCTCTGCAGTGCAAGAATGCATATTAACCTGGCTCAGGATTGCCAGACACACTCTCTGCAGGGCAGGCAGCTATTAAAAGCTTGGTACTTGTTATCTTTTTATCTCCCTTGGATGTGGTGTAGTGAAGCAGAGCATGCTGATACATTGCCCAGATATGGTGCCTATAGATGTCCTAACAAATAAACTCTCTTTCAGGATTTGGTTACAAGCACTTGAGATTAGTTCAAAAGGAGAGTCTGTGGGAATGTCTCTCTTAGGCTGCTCTTCAGGGTGCATTTCTTTTCCTTCATCACCTCTCTCTTCATCCTGATAATCACTGCGCAAAAGAGAGATGCAGTATGTCACCCAGTGGTGCTAGAATAAAATGAGTACCATCAGGAATTCTGCTTGTCTTCCATAAAAATCTCATACTGAGGGCTATTTTAGAACTCCCTATCAGTTCTGTGCCCATATTTCTTATAAAACAAAACTCAACAGCCATAATTTCTTCAGTCAGGCTCATTATTCCTTCTCTCTGCACTTTTTAAACAGCTACCTCACATCACTCAGCATAAACTGAGGTTAACTGATATCTGGATAATATCAGTCACTCTTTTCTGATTAGTTACACACACAGCAAGGGGTTTCAGATTCTTTGTTTAGCAGTACTGTCCTGGCTCTTTCTCCTAGAAAAAAAAAAAAAAAGGCTATTTTTCTGTCTTTTCAGGTTAAGCTTTCCTGCACAAATCCAAGAAATGTGCTTCTGTTTCCTGTTGTACTGAACTTACCTGCAAAAGGATCCTATTTCCATCATGGTCTTCTGTCTGCCATCTGCCTTCACTGATGGGGCTGCATGGGTTGGGCAAGAGAGGCACAAGCTGCCCCACATCTTTTACTCTGAACTCCAGCACTGCTGACTCTGTCGTCATTGGCACCTGGCCCTTTGGAAGTTTCTTTAAAGAAAACTGAATGTCTATTTCCATGTTAGAATAGACAGGAAAAACACAAAAGTCTGCTTTTTTCTGACATACAGGTCTTTTCAATATTAACTCATACAATTTCAAAATGTCCCCAAAGTTTTCATTCCTGCAGTATATGGTGAAGCGGATCATTTCTTTCCCATAGTGCACTGGGCGAATGGCCCACAGAGGAGTCTCTGGAGCCAAAGTGTAAAAGTCTTGGCTGCAAGGCATGTAAGGGAGGAATTTCCCATGCATTAGCTCTGTGTGGTGGTAATGCCAAGGTGGCCGCTGAAAGGTTTCATGGAGCTGCAAGATTGGTTCTTCTCCATACTCCTCCTGCAGAAACAGAATGATGGCAAGGGCTGGCTGAGAAACAACAGCCTTAACTGGCTTCCTGCGCTTCTTGGGCACTCGTCTTTCTGAGACTCGGAACAGCTGGAGGTCTGGATGGATCCAGGCTAGAAGCCTATCGATAGCTTGCTGTAGAGTCTTGGATTCACCTGGGTCTGTGATAATATGTACACTAACAAGGAAAGGGTCTTGTATGCCTTCCACAGAAAGTTCACCTGAAATATTTAAAAAAAAAAAATATCCTTTAATTTTGTAATTTGTAACCAAGTTGACAACATTTAGGTGATCCTTAAAGAAGACACTGTCCGCTCAGTCACAGTGGGCTTTTTTTTTTTCATCTCTCTCAAGCTCACCTGTATTAAACAAAAAAAAATGTACAGAGATACAGCAACAAAGAAAACAATCAGAAGGCAGAGAAATTTCATCATGCATACCATAAGAGTTACTGTTTCTACTGAAGTAGCATCCAGAAGACATTACTGAATGTGTATTCATGTGTTCGAAAAGAGCTGCTCCATATAGCTGAGAGGTAGGAAAGATAAAAATACTGATGTAGAGTGGGGGTGAAAGGGATATTAGTGATGTGCAGAATAATCATGGTGGACAATGTTCATTCCACCTTGTTTTAATTTGTGCCAACTGGCTTCGGTCATGGAAATCACACCACTGAACTCCACTCTATTACCCTGACGTTGGAGTTTTCTTAACACTCAGTTAAGAATATTTTGTGTCCTGGAGGAAATTGTTCTAATAAGTAAGGTGAAGTTTGTAGGGAGAGGTAATATCTTTTATTACACCAACCGATACAGTTGTGGGAAAAAAAAAAGCAGAGAAACCTTCAGGCACATAAGTCTTTCTTCAGGAAAATATATTACTTGTCCCAACAAATCCTCCACTGTTTATATCTTCAGACTAGCAAGACTATAATACTACTGTTTCAAGGTCTTTATAAGATTAGGGAAGACTCATAAAAGCAGGAAGCACAAAAAAAATTACACTTACTTGGGGGAAGAAAGAAACCTCTAGTTAGCCTTGGCAATGTTCACAGGGGCTCTATCTGTTGTTTGTCCCTGAAACCTCTTCGATAGCTCAGAAGTGAAGCAATGTGTGGTTGGAGGGTTGAGTAGAAATTGTTACTTCTGTTCTGCTGGAGTTACATGCCAATAAAGATGCATGTGCATGGTGATCCAAGACAGTTTAATAAATTAGTCATGTAATTGATATTTTTGCTGAAATGGTTCCCCTTGTGTGGTGTTCTGAAACCACCTCCATGTTTGAGACCCTGAACCTAGGCACAAAGCCCAAATGTGCGAAACCTCAGAAAGATTTCCCAGGCTTTTAATTGTGCAGATTACATTTAACAGGGGGATTGTCTCAAAGGCTATTTCCCCTCCTATTAGCAATCAGTACAAACCTCTCCCTCCTCCTTCCTGGCATCAGAATAACATTCTTGTGATACTTCACCAATTGCTTTAATGGAAAAGCAGCTTTATATGAGTAGTGTATTTTAGTTGTCTTTCAATACAGAATAGCTGTAAGACCCAGAGGAAATCTAGATGCAACTCATAGCTGTCCAGACAGAGATGGCTGGTAAACATACCATCAGCCTCAATTTGAAGCTGCAGAAAGATATGGTATGCACAGCAAATAGCAAGCATGCATCTTGCCTAAGGAAGATAGAGAAAAATCAAATAAGTAATCAAAAATACAATTACAGGAGAATTCTTGTATCTCTGTGTGAAATGGGTGATGTGGAGTGACTTTGTCAGATAGCTAATGGGAAAAAAAATGAAGCAAAAAGAAAAACTGTGTCAGTATGTGGCTAGAGGTTTTGCTGTGGCAATCATTACTGGTAGGTAATTCTTGGAGATATCCCCATGTGGGGTAGTCACAGTGTGGGAGAAAAACAAAGGGGTGTGTGGGGGGAGGTCCTCTCATGGTCCTTTACATGGGGCAGCAGGACAGGAAGGAAAACAAATTACAGAGGACAGTGATCTAATAAAACCAGAAAGAAAGTAGTCACCATAGCTACGCAGTTATTCATTCTCTAAGACTGGAATAGAAGATGTTCAGCTCTTTTCTCCCTCTGATTCCTTTGTTACACAAATGCTATCAAAGCCTGCAACAAGTGACAGGCTTGATATTTATGCATATAAATCACTGGAGCTCTGAAAGAAGGCTGGGCATAACAATGTGAAGCAGAGAGCCATCGTTGCTGACGCCTTCTTGCTCTGCATTGAAAAAAAGTCCCTGAGCATGGCTTTTCTGTCCTCCTGTTGCTCAGCATGGTGCATGGACACTGAATGGCTAAAGCATTTTTCACAAGTAGAGCCTTGTGGGAGCCAGTGCCAGCATTAGTATTCTGCAGCCATCACTGCCTGTACCCATCGGCACCAGATGCTCACAGAACCAGCCTCAGAGACACAGCACAAAGCCATCATTAGGAGCTGGGGTTATACACAGAGCAGGGCAAATCATCTTTTTTTGAGCTAGAAGCAACTCAGTTGAGGGGGGAAAAGTGTAACAGATCAGTAGGGAAAGAGCTTCAGTTCTATTTTATGTTATGCTTTTCCTGTAACGCTTTTACACCTTTCATTATGTGGTTTCTGTGCTTCTAAAATGGCAGCCCTTTCTATCTGGGTAAGGAAAAGAGAAACTCAAGAAAAGTAGAAATATGAGGCAAGAGGAAACTTTCTCTGAACTGACATTAAGTTGCAAATTGTTTCTATGTTACTAACAAGTCTTTTGCTCCAGCTGACAAAGAAGGAGGGGAAACAACACCATTTCTCATGACACAGTTCAATTTGCCCCCGGCAAATTGTTACAGAAGCAAATGAAAGCTCTGCATATGTATTAGCCTTCCTGTATTACTAGTTAATCCCACAGAAAATATCAAAATGCTGAGGCATCTATTTGAAAATAAGCTTCACAGTTCTCATAGCTGTTACATTTTCCCCCTTTCTATGACAGAAGGGGATTAGTTCTTTTTGAGTTGGCAAGCACTAACTTTGCTAAGAGGTAATTACTACCAGGATTGAGAGAGTATTTTACAATTCTAAACTTTTTACTCTTCTGTTAGGTATTATTAACCACCTGTGAGAGGTTAAAGCATCAGCCCAAATGCTGTGGGACCGTCAGACCTGATATTTTATGATTGAGCTTTGTATGGTTCCTTCTCTATATATTATTTTTATTTTGTTGCTGATGTGATATTGCTGAGCAGAAATAAAAGAAAGTCCTGCAAAGCAGAAGGGCAGTCTTGCCCTGTGGTTCTTCCTTCCCTCCTCTTCCTGCCCAGAAACCACCATCTTCTCATCAGAAAGACAATATGACAGGAATCAGCGGGTCCTGTCAAGTCTGTCTGTGCCAGCTATCTCATTTCGGTTTGACTGCTCTGAAGTTAAAGCTGCCTTGGCTAGAGAACAGACAGGACAGGTTGAGGTTGCCTATATCCCCTGTTGAGTGTATGGAGAGAGGCAGTCACCTCTGAAAAACCTGTGGAGGATGATCTTGCCTTCCTCATTCCTTTCCTCTTCCCTCACTCTGAAGGGAACAGTAGCGCCTGCAGAGGCCAACCTTCTCAGCATCCAGAGCTGCCCAACCCTTCCCTGGCCAGAGGTGCCCAGCTGGATGGCTATGACAAGGGCTGGTGAAGGGTATAAAGAACAAGTCTTAGGAGCAGCAGCTGAGGGAGGGCTGAGGGTCTGTTTAGCCTGGGGAAAAGGAGGCTCAGGGAGGACCTTATTGCTCTCTACAACTGCCTAAAATGAGGTTGTAGTGAGGTGGGGGTTGGTCTCTTCTCCCAAGTAACAAGCAATAAGACAAGAGGAAATGGCTTCAAGTTGCACCAGTGGAGGCTTAGACTGGATAATAGGAATAATTTCTTCACCAAAAGCATTATCAAGCATTGGAACAGGCTGCCAAAGGAAGTGGTAGAGTCACCATCCCTGGAGGTATTTAAAAGATGTGTAGATGTGGCCTTTAGGGACATGGTTTAGTGGCAGACTTGGCAGTGCTTGGTTAACAGTCAAACTTGATGATTTTAGAGGTCTTTTCCAACCTAAATTATTATATGATTCTATGATCTGGTGACACAAATGCCCATGGGTGAAGTGGGAAGTCCTCTGCTCCCTTAGGGTGGTGTTTGAGGGGGCAGCCACCATCCCTGAGAGATGCCAAGACAATTCAGGTATCTGGTAACACCATTTTTGCAGCAGCTGGCCAGGAAGGCAGGGCTCCTGGCCCAAAGCAGGCTCAAGTGGGTGCAACATCAAGTCAGCAACCCCAGCAGCTGGGAAGCAGCTAGACTCATCTGCAAACATGGGGAACTGGAGCTAACACTCCTTCTTCCTGGAGTATGTATGCATTTAACATTAAACAACACAAGAGGCAAAATGTCCCTAGAGTTTTCTTCCATGTCACCTGTATAATCCTAGATTAGAGAATTCTCCCTCTTTCATTTGTTTTTTGGCCCTGGCTCTCTTGCATAGCTTGCTCCAGCAAAACTATGGCCATGACTGGGCAGTCTGGTCCGTCTTTTACACTGTGACAGACCCAGGTTGCATTCCCTCTTGAACAAAAATCAGTCCTGTCCTTCTCCGGGCAGTGTTCCAACCCCTTTTTTATTGCAGGAGAAGTCACCATCAGCAGTCTAAATGAGATCTGATTTTTCAGGCTTCTCCAGTGGACTAAACTCAGCCTGTAGTGAAGTTTAGGAAGGATTTAAGTATCTGTCTCTCTGAAATATCTCTCCTTTTGGTGAAACAAGGTATGAACCTAGACCTCTCTGTCTCGCCAGGAGGTATTTAATGAGGACTTACCTACAGGGTTAGGCAAACCTGGAAAGTATGTGAGCTAGGACTGAATTTGTAACAAAGAAAGATTGTCCAGGCAGACTGGTTCCTGGCCCCAGTTTGTGCGTGGGAAAAAGCATTTCCAAACTTTGGCAGATATTTTCAATATTCTAGTCACCTACATTTTCAATCTTTTATTCAGGAAACACAGAGGAAATACCCAACCTAAAAATACTTGACCTTTTTTTTTTTTTTTGCTGACCTGCATTATTGCACTGAGAACCTGAACATTGGAATGCTAACATCCATTTTTCCACTGCAGCATGCTGCTTCATGGGAACCAACACCTGAACATATCTTACACTGTACAGATCACATTAATTTATCGCTACATCAAGCAGTAAGATTTCAAATTTCATTTG